TATGATAATAAATCCGCCATATTGCCGATCGCGCACCTGAAAAGCGCATTTGAAGTCGAATTTCAACTAATTTCAACCTCCGGTTCGTTTATGCGGAGTGCGATAACCTAGTCTTTAGTGTAAAATAAGGTTTCTAACACAAATTTCGGAAACCTACATTTCGTTAGTTCCGTATCGTTTATGCCGTGATTTGAACCTTGGTTTCAAACTTAGGTTTCGATTGAAGTTAGGTTTAGAGGCTCGCATAAACTGGCATAAACACAGCTACTGCTAGAATATCTTTCCGAAAAATAGTACATAATGGGAACATAATTAGAACATTACATACATAAATAGAATTTACATTCATAGAATTACATAATTAGAAGTATGAAATTATCTCTTTTTTTTCTCTGACGGTCTTCTGCATAAGGTGACTCATTCAAATTTAGCGCCAGAGACGTGATATCAGTGCTGCTCTCTGCGCAAGCATGACGTTCATGGTATTGGACGTTCCCAGCCAGGTTGTGTGGTTGTGTGCTTCTGTGCTCTTTGGCAAGTGGGACAGGCGAAATTATCGGATCTGCAGCTAGTTGTGGGTTTTGACCGTTAAAATCTCAGTAGTTAACTTTAAATTAGGTTTTTTTCGAGGAAAATTTCAGAGTGCTGAAAAAGTGCTGAAATTTGATAAGGCTGAGTGCTGATTTTTGAAAATTCCATCTGGGAACCCCGCATTGTCTAGGTCATTGTCTGCATTTGTCTGCTCGTCTGCTCATTACACTCTGCTCTCGCTCTGGAACTGTTCAAGTGTTAATTTTCCTCTTTTCTACAGCGAAAGACTAACCCAAGACCTAATAGGCTAATGTAAGGTCCTACAATATGCCAACTACACGGAGCAGCTCAAAGAACAATTGTCCAGAGGTATTCTATCATCATTATCCTTGTAGACCTTTAGACCTCTTCTCTCGGAGATGTTTCTTCGTAACAATTTTAACATATGTTATCACAACACCTCACAGACGAGAATGAAAACGATTTCATCTCTCATCATAGATTGCGCTATACTTTCCTGCAGTGATTTTTTCAATATGACACGCTAATGGTGATTAGTCATGGTTTCTGGCGTGCGTTTTGTCACATCGCACAGGTAATAAATCTTGGCAGATTTTGAATTTTTAACCAAATCAGGAACGATAGCCCTTGGGTCTGAGCTTTAAGAATAGATCTAAACCAAAAAAAAAAAACCAACAACTGGATAACTGTATGGAATGCTAGGTTCTTTTCATGGTACTCTATTTTTTCCAAAACAGATCCTGCTTTTATTTCTCTGAATTTGGCCAATTTTCTGGTTTAGACTGATTTTTCAGACTTAGGTGAAGGTATTAATGTTCTCTTTGTGGCTGATGATTCAAAATCTGCCACATTTTTTTATTTTATTGATGCGATATATTGCACCCCAATTCTACCACGCCAGAAGCCGTGACGAATCACCTTTATGAAAAATCTTATCCCAGAGCCTTCAAGGTTACAATAGATCTACTCGAACTTTGGCATCTCTGACTTAGTTATTGCAATGATGTTAAGTAATTGGATTGCATTTTGCAAAGACGAACCAAGAGCATTCTAATGTCGCTAATATTGTGCAACCATTTTTACGTTGCAAAGATAAACTGATTATCTCAACAAGTTTTATCTTCACTTCCAATAAACTACTAATTTACGTCGAAAAATACCTTTTCCAAAATTTTCAATCACAGCTGAAAAAAATTTTTTGGAGCTCTAATTGTTGCCTACGAAAATTAGAGAGGCCAGAACCACCACTCTATGATGTCAGCTAGTTGATGAAACTCAGCAGCGGTTTAACATGTGTTCTTACGGGAGAACGCATGTTCCGTTTGTGCTAATATTTTCAGGGGTTGAGCTGATGCAAAATTTCATAAGAACCCTTTCGAAAGAAGATAAAATTTCACATTAGAAAACTGCCTTGTTCACAAATTACATTGTCTGATAATTGAGGAAATAAAAGCTAAACACAACCAAGTACCGATAATCATTACGCCACTAAGATTCTAATGTGCCGCTCATGCAACTTTGGCCGATCGACGGCAGCTCTGATTGGTTAACACGGCGATTACTGTACTGGTTTGATGTCACGAAACCAAGTAGTTACGGCCTCTCCATTCTTGTAGGCAACGCTCTTATGAGTACCAGTACAAGACTGAGGGGGGGAGAGTGATCAGCTCAGGCAGCTTGCGTTGGAATATTAAGTTGAGGTCATGCCATTAGATCTATGACATTTTGCGTCTTTGTATACCTCATCATTAGATCACATTCGTCAGTGAACCCAACTTGACATCCCGCAAAATCTAAGACGGCATCAAAACGCTGTTATGAATATGATGCAAGGCATGACACATAAGTGTGATTCTTACGCTGTCTACCGTCGTTAATGAACTACTCGCATTACAAAACAAGGAAAACCGGGAAAAAATTATTATCAGGCAGGTTGGAGATGCAAGCGCATTCAGACTCCACCGCCTGCTCCCAAACGTGGAAAAACACAGAACCCTAAAATGGGCGTATTTATGAGAAGAAACCCCAAGAAATGGTCCATACTCATGGGCTGACAAGCAAAAGGCATCTGAAGAAATTCTAGAAAAGATAACCACAGTGGATATCGGAATAACGACATATCGGGCATAACGACATAAACTGGTCAGTCCCGGCTGAAATCCCATTCATTCAATGTATTTATGTATCGGTTATAACGACATATCGGTCATAGCGACGGAGTTTTCGCGTCCTAACAGATGTGGTGATCGGTTATAACAACCTGAGCGATAGCAACAGAGGCCGAAGAGGAGAGGATCTCCAGGGGCGTAGCTAGGAAATTTCTCTGGGGGGGGGGGGGGG